CACGTGGCTGCGCACCAACTGGTGCTAACGCAAGGCCAGCCACGCGCGCGTCACGTGCTGATCAAGCCGACACCGCGCGATCGGCGAGTGCGCGACGAATGCGCCGTTAGCAGCCCGATCGGCCACCGCTCCAGGCGCATGCTAGTCTTCATATCAGGATGGCGGCTTTCCCAGGCGTGGACAACGCAACGCCCGCCAAGCGCATCGCGCGTTGGCCCAAACCGCTAGACATGAGATGGGGCCACGTGAACATCGGAACCCAGGCGGCCACCGCACAGCGCCCACTTTACCCTCCAGGCCCGACCATCGCTTCATGTCCAGCGAGCAGCGCAAGGCCCGCCACGCGCGCGCGCCACAGCCTGGCCCAACCAAGCGCGCGCCCCTGGCCGACCCCATCTGCTAACATGCGGTCCCTCATGCTAGCCCCATAGCCAACGCTGCCACCACCAAGGTCGTTTCCCTGCGCGCAGGCCCGCACGAACACTTCTCCATCATGGATAGCGCACGGCACGCAACGCGCGCGCGGCGAGCAGCCCACCTGGGGCGCGCGCCACCGGCGCTGCACTCGGCCACCGCGAAAGCCCCACGCCGTATTTCAGGCGCCCATGACGCCTGCCGTCGCGCCGATCTTGCGCCTCTGCAACCACTGCTGGGACAAGGCCATCATCGTGTCTTGTGCACATCATGCCGTGGTGCGCGCGATGGCCGATGCATGGTTGATGGGGGGCTCCGCGAATGGTTTATGTGTGGTCTATGTGAACCTCAATGGTTTATGTGAACCTCTGTGGTTTGCGCTTTCGACGGCGCCGCGTGGAGTTCCCTTGCGCCAGCATCCACGGGCAGGGCGGTTCCTTTGTTGGAGAACTAATGTTAATTTGGCGAGGCCAGGGTTCCTTTGCACCCAGCCAGAGAACCCTTGCGAAAAGCATTGGGCCTGCGCCAGGGGGTTCCCATACACCACCCATCAACCACCCATAAACCACCCACAAACCACCCACAAACCACCCATAAACCACCCATAAACCACCCATAAACCATCCATAAACCACCGAGTTCACATAAACCACACATAAACCACCCATAAACCACCCATAAACCACACATAAACCACCGAGTTCACATAACCACACATAAACCACCCATAAACCACCCATAGACCACACATAAACCACCGAGTTCACATACACCACCCGTAAACCACAACTAAATCACTTAGCAACGCACGCATGTAACATTGAGGTGCAGCAGCCGCGAGAGCGTGTCAAGCCAATGGCAAATAGGTTGTGCGTAGTTGGCACGCTGCCCATCGGGCGCGGTTGCTGTCGGGGCGCGGGCGCGCATGACGCGTTGCAATGATCGTTCGGCTGCCAATCACTCCGCAGCAACGGGCGAGAATCCGTCGGATATTCCGCGCTGCGGGCGTGCCATGCACACCGCGCACGCGGTCGCCTTCGCCGATCAGCAATGCATCGGCCACGCTGGTTGCCTGGAAGCCAATGCGAGCACCTGGCCATTGCCGAGCGGATTTCGGGGGAACCGCGCGGGGGCGGGCTGCCCGCGGTGCGCACTCGCAGCGGGCACTGCGTCGCCGACGATCGCGATTTCGCAGTGTCAGCGCAGCGGCTAATATGCAGGCCCGAGCAATGACCGCACGGCTGTCGGGCGACCCGCGCAACGGGCGGATCGCCCTCTGCGCGCGCAAGGGTTTACGCGGTGCCCCCAGTGTAAAGCCACAGTGCAGATTTGAAAACTCATGGGTGCGTTCGCGGCGGCCAAGAGGAAAGCTCGAGTTCGGGTGGCCCGCGCGTCGCTAAGGTCAACCGCCGCGCGCGCGGCTGTTGCTGCAATACAACAAGCGCAAGGTGCCCTGCTGCTTCCCTGGGCACCATCGCGAAACTTCAGCGGTGACGGAACGGATTGCGGGTGGCCCGCGCGACGGGCGGGCCGCTTGTCAAGCGCGTTGTGGCTTCTCCGACATCCACTACGGAGGCCAAGCGACGTCGGCCTGTACAGTAGTTCGAGCCTTTGGCGGCGTGGCATTGCATCGGGGAGTTAACCCACGCCCGCCGCGCATCAGTCGGCTGCGCGAGCGCGCGGCGCGCACACGCACGCGCGCGACGCCACTTCTGCAGCCGCATCGGTGGCGAAGGTACCATGACGGCTTGGAAACCGCAGCTCGACATCAACGGTGGCCGATTGGGGCCTGACGTTGCCTTTGAGATAGTCTGCCCATCGCGCGCCGTTCGGTGTGGACCAACGCACCACGCGCATATCCGCGCGCGTGGCGGCACCGAGCTTTCCGCATCAGAGAATGCGCGACGCTGCTTTCGGTGCCCTAGTGAACCGAGGGCGGGTGGCGCTAGACTTTCGAAATTGACGGTGGCCCGCTGCGCGCCAACTTGCTGGGCCAGCAAAAGGCGCGCGCACGCGGGTGCGTCGTGGGGTTCTGGCGCCCGCAATGTGGAGACCGACGTGCTGCTGCTGGAATTCGGAATGAACCCGAAGCGGAGGGTGTTCGGATTTCGGCGCACGCGTGGACCCATCACGCGCCCGCCGAGCGGCGGGCCCACGACGCGTGCGCGCTTGGGCGCGCGTTGGGCCGCGCGGCCTCCAAGAATTAATAACCGCAGCGCTGCCTTGGACATTCGAAGCCCCCACTTAGCGATGACGGCCCATCTGTCGCGAGCCACCGCTGGCTGGCGCACCCAACGTCGGCCGATTATGTAAGCGCGCGGCGCACGCGCGCGCGGCAGTGGCCTCTGCCGCGCGACCCAACGCGGCATCAGCCACGATGGTCCAATCACTCGCGCAAGCCCCCCCTCCCCAACCACCGCCTCCAAGTGGCGGCATAAGTGTTTTCGGATTTCGAATGTGACGTTGCGCCGACGCGTGCAGGCATCTCGGGAAGTTGCCTGCGCGGCGCGCGCGCGAGTTGCTGGTTCCAGAATTCGCGCAACTCCGCGCCTCCTCGGAACAAGAAGTGGGGCCCGCAAGGTGGTGGCGATGGGCCGCGTGGACGCAAACGTCACCGCGGGCCTGCCACGCGTGGAACAGGCCCCATGAGCAGCAGCGCACGCCGCGCGGACGCGCGCGCGAAGTGGGACTTGAACTGCGAGCTGCCCTCGACAAAGAAGCCGTCACGCCGCAATGGAAAAGAAGTGGTGCCCTCAGGGGTGACCGATTGGGCGTCGCTGCCAGCCCACGCGCGCCGCGCGTAAGCCGACGCGGGCCTGATCGCGTCGCGCGCGCGATAAGCGCATGGCCCCAGCGCCAAGGGGGTCAGCGCGTCGGCTTAGGCGTTTGGTCGGGCAATGTGCCGCGAGAAACAGTTGGGCAATAGAGCGGGAGCACGCGTGCACAACGCGAACCTGTCGGGGCTGGCTCGCGGCGCCCGTACGCGCGCGAAGTGGAACGCGCGTTGCCCGCAATCGGGAAGTCGCAAGGTTGGCTCTGGCACCAGAGTGAAACGCCACCAAAACCCATATTTTGCGCTCAGCGTTTGCGCGGGCCCATCAAGCGCCAATCAGTGACTAGCGCCGACGCGCGCGCGCGCGGGGTGCGGAAACACCAGCGACAAGACAGATGGCACGTCGACTCAACCCAAGCGGGCAATTCGCGCTGGCCGATAGGATGCCATAGCGCTACATTGGGCTCGCCGCATGCAAGTCGGTTGGGAAATCACGCGGCGCGCGTGCGCGCGCGCGCGTGGTGGGCTCTGCGCTGCCCACCGTGCGGACGCAACGGCGTTGTCTCAGAAGCCAAGGCGAACCCTTAGCGGTGACCGATGGGATTTCGGAAGCAGGCATGGCCGACTATACGCCTTTAGGTTGGGTCAGCGCGCTGCGCGCGCACGCGAGACAGCAGCCCGTGGCTTCTGCAACACCAGCAACAGAAAACTCGCCATGCCACCTATGAGCTAATCTGAAGCCTACAGCCGTTACCGATGTAGATGCAGAAGTCAGCCTTGGCCCATGAGAAGCCAATCGCTTGGGACAGCGCACGACGCGCACGCGCGCGCGCGCGTGCTGGGGCCTATATACCCCAAGCTACAAGAGGTACCATGGTGGGTTGCAAACCAAGATTAAACCTCTGGCGTCTTCGAAAAGAGGAGGCTGCCAGGTAGCAGTGGCCCACCACGTGACGCTTGATTTTGGTCATCGCACGACGCGCGCATGCGCGTGTGGCGAAGTCTGAATTATCGTCACCAGAGGAACGACCATGCTGGCAGTGGACCTGGCGCGGGCCCTGAGTTGTCGCCAGATGGGGTTCGACGTTAACATGCTCGCACCACACGCTAGGCAACTTGGCCAGCGCACGGCGCGCGTACGCGCGCGGTGGAGTCTGTGGGCCCACAAAGAACAACCCGCTACGCTGTCTTGGGAACTGAAATGGCTATGCAGGGGTGCCCGCAACAAAGGGGAACTAACAGCGCACATCACAGGCTGGCCGATAGGGCCCGCGCACGACGCAGGTACACGCGCGCGTGGTGGTAGTCTGTTGTGATGCACACTAGAGATGTCACCGTGTATGCGGCGGCGTCGTGAAGTAGGGTTACGCCAACGCAAAGAAAACTTGACAGTGCTTGCACCCCGAGGTCGTTCGGCGATCCCCAAACAGTGTTTGCACCGCAGGCCGTGGCCCCAACAGAGTTATTGAGCGGCCGCCGCCAGTCCGGTGGGACCCCAAACTGGTTGCCCAATGCCAAACATGATGCCATACTAAAGCTCCGCTTTGAGATTCTAGATTCAATCCTTGGACACCCCCTCTGGGGTATAGTGTTTCCACGGCCTGCCCCCCCGTCGTGGGCGCAGATCAGATTTGCGTTTCCTGGGGGTTTCTGCTCCTCTTCCTTGGCAGGCCCTCCAGTTGCCTTCTTTCTCCTCTTCTTCGTCCTGCCCCAGCTCACGATACAGCTCCCAACGTAGCCTTTGCATTCCCAGTCATCCTCTTTTCCTCGTCTGACCCCTCCTCATCCTCCAATTCCTTCGTGGGGCGCCGAGCGTGCCGACGCCCCGTTCCAGGGTTGTCGTGCTAGCGCTTTGGCTCGGTGCTCTCGTTTCCACGCGTTCTTGTCTGCTCACTCACCAGAGTTCCAAGTCATGGCGCCTCCGAAGTCGAACCAGCACGTCGTCGCAGAGGATGGCGCGCAGCCGCCCTTTGAGCCAGACGCGCTCGAGATGTCCCCATCGGGCGAGACCCAATGGGAAGGGCCGCCCGACTCCCTCACGGACTCTATGGTGCGAGAAGACTACGCCAACACCATTCCAGTTGAAGTGCTGCAGCATCGCCGCTCGCTAGAGCCAGCCCGCCCAGAGAAGATGGTCAATATTCCATCGCCAACGCCAGGGACAGCAGGCAGTGCCTCATCGGGGCAGGCCGCGCCACCTCCAGTTGTGCGCTTCGCCGATTTGGCGAAGAAGCTCAGTGAGGCTCCGACGCCGCAGTGCTCGTTCAAGAAGGAGCTCGCGGCAGCAGCGGTCAGGATCACACAAACGCCATCGGCTTCGGCAGCGGCGCCGCGTCCCCCAGACAAGGACCAGAGTGCCAGCAAGAGCGCTGCGGCGGCGGCCGAGGCTCCTCGCTCGCGGTCGCCGCCACTGCGTCCCCTGAGGACGAAAATAGCCACGGAGAAGCTGATCATGACGGCAGCGTCCCGCTGGAACAGGTGGGAGGACGTCCCGGTTGGCATCCAGCAGGGCTTCATCGACAAGTTGGGCTCGAGGTTCCCGGTGAAGTTTGGGGAGCTGCCCGTCGAGAGCACGAGCTACAAGGTATTTTTTTCGAGGTGGAGTGCAATATGGGCCCGAGGACTCGGCAATCGTGAGTCTCGCATTGCAGACAACAGTCGTGAGCCCGCATCTGTGGGAATATTATTTTGTTTGAAGTTGCAGCTGCTTCATCATCTAGCTGCGTAGACTGTTTGGAGTTATGTGGCCGCGTCGCGTGGCGATGCTCGGAGGCCGCGTCGAGAGGCTAAGACGCTGGCATCAGCAGATATTTCAGGCTGGTGGTTGCATGAGAACTCTCTCGCCTGATTGTCTTGATTCACTGCTCATCCCCTCTCCTCTTGATCCACGGGATGCCTACCAGCCACTAAGGAACACTTACCAGACAGCAACCATGACACCTACCATACAGCAGAAGACATGTATCAGGTAGCAACATAACGCGTACCAGGCAGCAGACGAAACCTACCAGACAGCAAAAGAACACCTACCAGACAGTACACGAAACCTGCCATGGAAGCAAACGAACACCTACCAGGCAGCACCATAAACCCACCAGGAAGCAAACTAACACCTACCAGACAGCAGCATACCACCTACCAGACAGAAAAAAATGAAACCTGCCAGACAACAGAAAAGCACCTACCAGACAGCAACACAACACCCACCAGAAACCGACACACCACCTACCAGACAGCACTGCTAGCGAACACCTACCAAACAGCGAAACACGCCTACCAGACAGCAACAAAATAAGACCCCAGCAAAACAAGACTCCAAGCAGACAGAAGCGGGCCTCCAGAAGGTTAAAGACCTTGGGCAGTAGCAGGCGGTTGACGTCTTCTGACTACGTAATCGTTGTACTGCAGTGGCGTGTCTCGGTGTGCGCAGGCAGGCATAAAGCCAGAGCAAATGTCAGTGCAGAGTGCCAACGGTGAAGGCCCCCCAAATGTGCCCCAATGAAGTTCCCCAAAATGTGCTCCCAATGAAGGCCCAACTGGAGCGTCGGAAGCAACCGACCGAACACCGCTTGGGCTCAAGCCACTTTGGGCTCACAGGAGCTGGCGGTGAGAGCGCTTGCCCCTCCTTGCCGCGGCATTTGGTGCAGCATGGCTGCTTCAGTCGTGGCGGACGAGGAGATTCTGGGAGAGGGGCCTGATGTTGGAGACCTTCCGTGCTTCCAGTGCGGTCTCTGCGAGATGGACATTGCGCACGCAGACACGAGCAAGAAGGATTGGAAAGGCATGTGTCTCCACGGGCGTTGTTTCAATGCGATACGGGCCCACGACCGCTTCCTGGAGGGAGCGCCGCAGCACGTGGTTGATAAAATGAACCAGGACTTCGAGCTCGACCGTCCCGCTTGGCAAGAACGCATCCGTCCTTGGATCGACCCTGCCAAGGTCGCGAGGGACAGCGCCAGGGAGGTGACCAAGAGGTTCTTCACCGTGACAGAGACGAAATCGAAAGAGACTCAGAAGGGGATCGATGACGACATTATCGTCTCTCGGACGGAGTTCATGGCGTTCGAGGGGTTCTGGCACAGGAAGACAGATGAGGAGAGCACGCTTGAGTTTGAACGGATTCACGCAGAGCAGAAGGGCAAGTACGACGTGACGTGGGTGGAAGACGGCGAGGTGAAAGTTCTGCAGAAGATAGCTACGAAGGACATCGGCCGCATCAGGACGTCCAAAGGCGAGTCCAAGTCCAATTGCAGCATGCAGGTGGAGATGGAGACGTCTGCGTTCGATGCGGAGGTGAAGCGCAGGCGCCTCATGGCCAAGTCGTCGGTTTCTGCTTCGTCCTGCGATGGTCGAATGCCGCCGTCGCATGTTCCGACCAACGCCCGCTCAGCCGAGCACTACCTGACCTTCGGCGACAGCCGCTCCAGGGCCGACAGCGTGGACACCTTGGACGCCTCCACGGTCGGTGTGGCGACGTCGCCTCGCGAGGCGCTTCGGGAAGCTGAGGCTCCAGACACAAGCAAGGACGGCGCGAAGTTGAAGAAGGGGGCGCCGTCTGAGAAGGGCGGCAAGACCAAGCTCTTCAAACCCAAGTCGGATATCAACATTGACGACGCCACCAGGGAGCGCGTCGCGCCGACGCTGGAGGACATCGAGAAGATGGAGCCCGTCGTGTTCATGGAGGTGAAGCGGCACTGGAGTGAGATGGCGTCCCACGTGCACGCTGGTTTCATGTCTACTGGGTCGGGCTACGTGTCTCAGCTCAGGGCCGCCAGCGACGCTGTGGGCACCGAGGCGCAGAAAGACCTTGACATGCCGACCGACGAGCTGATCAAGAGCATCAGCAGTATTGCGCAGGAGATTCAGGAAGGTGTCGAGAGGCTCGGTGCTGACTGCAACAAGTCGAGCTTCGCAGAGATTTCTGCTAGGCTTCATTCCAAGATAGACGAGATCGAGAAGACGAAGAAGCAGGTGTATACTCAGTTGGACGGCCTTCGGTATCTCAACGAGAAGGGCGGACGCGGCAAGCAGATCGAGTACATGAGCCACTACAACAAGCGCATCAAGATAATGCGCAGGCTGATGAAATGCAATTTCTCGAAGGAGCTCGCCGACAACATCTCCAGGACGATCTACTCCATGAGGGGGGGGGCGCCGAGAAGAAGTCCTTGGTCAGCGAGCCCTGCGCCAAGGGCGGCAAGCTGAAGAAACCTCTGCTGTTCCAGGGCTCCGTGGCACTGAATGGCAGCAGCGTCGACCCCTTCAAGATCACGGTGTGGAACGACCCAAATTCTGAGGTGCACAATGCGGTCTCCAGGATGATTCAGACTAACTCCGAGGCCATCAATAACAAGATCAAGGTTCACGACACCTCATTCGACACCAAAGGCCAGAACTGGCTAGGCTGCCTGGGTCGCGTGACGAGCGACTGGGTGGTTACCGACGTGGAGGCGTTGGGCGACGGCTACTTCGAGCTTTGTACGGGTGGTGTATCGCCGTGGTTGATGACGATCAAGGCCGATTGCCCTCGCTGGGGTCCAGCGTCCGTTCCTCTCGTGGGCTTCGAGTGCATGGTGATTGCACGCGCGAAGGATACCCGCATCATGTGCCACGAGGCGGCGACAGTGCTGCAGAACGGCGTGTCGCTCAAGGACTTCTTGAAGTTCGCGGAGACTGAAGAGGGCAGCAACGGCATCCAAGGCTCGAAGATTATCCATTTGAAGATTGGTGAGATTCTGCACGTGCCGATGGGCACGATGATCATGCCTTTGTACCACCCGCTGGAGCTCCAGCAGACCAAGAAGATGCCGCTGAGCCATCTCATCGTGCTGCCGCTGCTCCACGCGGAGAACGCCAAGACGGCGCCGTGCTTCAAACTCCTCCTCCTCCTCCTGCCCCCTCTCACCCTCGATCTTCCACTTCCTCCGACCCAAACCAACGAGTCCTCCTCCTCCTCCGGCCTAAGTTACCCCGCCCTGACCATTGATCCTCTCGCCCTCCTCCTCCTTCTCTTCCTTCTCCTTCACCCACCGCTCCTAGGGGATAAAGGGACGAGGACCAAGGAAGAGGGAGGAGGAGGGAAGATGAGGTGGGAGTAGAGGGCGGATGAGCGTAAGGAGGGGGAGGAAGAGGAGAAGGAGGAGGAGGATCGATTAGACAATGAACGAGGATGGGGTTTCGGAGAACATGAAAATGAGGCATAGGACGTTCATGAGGATGGTAGTCTGGATCAGGAATCAACCCATTAGGATGACGACGAGACTGAGGATAACCTAGGGATAATGAGATGGTGATGAAAAACTTCAGGGGATGAGGGAAAGACGGTGAGGCGAATGGTGAGGATGAGGGAGGCTAGGACGTTGATGAGGATGACCTGCATGACTACGAATATCACGAAGACAAGAATGACGATGACGAATACGATGATCAAGAACACGATTAGGCTATAGGGGAAGATGATAGGGTCGCGCGGGCGTGGATGACGAGGACGGGATCGGAGGAAGGAGGTGTTCACGATGATGACGATGATGGCAACGATGGCAGGGCATAGGGGGATGATGATGATGCGGATGGGGACGGTAGGGATGGATCGGATCACGACTTAGGTGAGGAAGGGGGTGATGAAGCGGATCAGGAATTAGATGATGAAGGTGATGATGAGGAGGAGGATGAGGAGGCGGACCATGAGGAGGGGGTCGATGATGAGGCGGACCTCCTCATCTTCCCTCTCCCATCCAGGCGGTCAGCCAGGATGTGGCTCGTGCGATTTCGAACTACAACACAGAGTACCTCGCGGCGCAGGCCGCGGGATCATCCATGTACAAGGAGAGGGCAGCGGCGTTGGGCCGCTTCACAGAGATTCTGGGCCTGTAGGCCGCCACACTACTTTTTTCGAGCGGCGCACCGCACGAGGAGGCGGAGAAGGAGGAGGAGGAGGAGGAAGAGAGGGATCACTAGGAGGAAGCTGAAGGAGAAGAGGACGACGCCAATAAGTAAAGAGCAACAGGGAGGGAGGAGGAAGGAGGAGGGGGGAGGAGGAGGGGGAGGTAAAGGAGGAGGTAGGAGGGGAAGGCAGGTAGGAGGAGGAATGAGGCAGGAAGGAGGAAGCAACAAAGAAGACGATGCGCCGCTCGCACCTGTTTTCGAGCCAGGTGGCTCGGCCGTTTCGTCGAAGTTTGCTCTGGATGACAGGGCCGCCACCCGCAGGAATGAATATTCCTCCTCTTCCTCCTCCTGCTCCTCATCCTCGTTCTGCTCTTTGCTACCCCGTGTGCTTTCTCCTCCTGCTGCTCCTCCCTCCTCCTCCTCTTCTCCCTCCTTGTTGCCATATTGGCTCAAGCGCTGTCGCCGTCCGCTAGCCCCCTCCTTGTTCTCTTTTCCCAGTGTCCTGCGGGGCATTTGGGAAGGGGGGGGCAACCATTCTACCAATGCGGAAAATCCCTCCTACTCCACAGCCTCGTCCTCCTGCCCCTCGTTCCCCCTCCCCTCCCATTCTACTCATCCCGATGTCATATCCTTGCCCCTCCTTCTCAAACTTCGTTTCCCCCACCGCCTCTTCCCGCTCATCCCACCAGCTCCTTCCGTGGCCATTTTGGCTCGAACCGTTCAAGTACATCTCCGCGCTACCGCGGGACTTGAGATTATAGTTGCTGCCATCGTTTTCTTGCTCTCGGCACCGCGGTCAAGCTTGCATGTGGTAGCGGAGCGTTGCCAAGCGCATAGCTGGCGTGCCTTGTGAGATGACCTTCAACCGCGCATGCGTCTTGGCAAACGCCAAGATCGCATAAACCACCGATTTGAAACCGTAAGCCTGGGGGGTTGGGCGAAACCCAACCTTAAACCACGGGAACAAACCTTAAGCAATCCATGAACCACCGCCGAGTTCACAGCACGCCATCCCATTGACGGGAAAGTACCCTTAACCTGCAAAGGTGGCTTGGAGAGTGCCTAGCCAGATCGGGACCCTGTGGGCTCCGATGCAGCGTGATTCACGAGGGGTCGTGGCCCTGGGAGCGCGGACGCAGCGTAATTTACAAGGGGTCGGGGCCCTGGGAGCGCGACCCCAATGTACTTTGCGAGGGATCGTGGCCCTGGGAGCGCGGGCGCAGCGTATTTTCTGGGGGGTCGTGGCCCTGGGAGCGCGTCCCGTGGCACGTCCATTGGCACGTTCCGTAGCGCGTCCCCTTGGCACGTCCGGCAGTGCGTTCCCATGGCACATTCCCTGGGACGTCGCCTGGCGCGTCCCTTGGGACGGTCCGCGGCGCGTCTCCCTGGCATGTTCCCATGTCAATTAGCTCTGGTGCAGCTACTATGTGCTCAGGCAGCTCGAGCTTGAGATCCAGATCAGTTCGGTCAGGACTCGGACGCAAAGGAGGACTCGATCCACGACGCTATAGAGCACAATCGTGGCATGGCACATCGCAGTTCAGCACGGCGCAGCACAGCGCAGCCCTCGGCAAGGTACATCAAGATTGAGACACTCAGCATTGCAACCTGTCGCGTTCCCTGGTACGTTCCGTGGCGCGCCCCGTGGCGAGTCCCCCTGGCGCGTCGCGCGGCGCGTCCACTGGCACGTCCCGTGGCGCGTCCACGGGCGCGCTCCGTAGCGCGTCCCCTTGGCACCTCTGCGGCGTGTTCCCATGGCGCGTTCCCTGGCACGTCGCCTGGCGCGTCCCTTGGGACGTTCCGCGGCGTGTCTTCCTAGCATGTTTCCTTGCCATTCAGCTCTAGGGCAGCTACTATATGCTGAGACAGCTCGAGCTTACGACCCAGATCACATCGGTCATGGCACATCGCAGTTCAGCACGGCGCAGCACAGCACAGCCCTCGGCACGGTACATATCGATACACTCATCATGGCACTTGCCCGTTGCCCAATCAGGTGTCTTTGAAACGTTACCACGTCTTACGTATCTATTTTCCTTTCCGGGTTCGTGGGTCGATCTGTTGTTTCACGTGTATCGGGTTATGTCGCGTCTGCCTGTCGAATGCTCAGTCCTGTGGCTGCAGTATTATTACCAAAAGACGTGGAGGAACGAACTTCCTATCACCCCCCCAAAATACAGTTTGATAGTTTTCAAGCTGATATTCGAGGACGCTTCTTGTCGTAGTATGGAACTGATTCGCGTGTTGAGAGCTGTAACCTGGTTGACGGTTTACCGCCGGCAGCGGTTCCAGCTCTGGTAGCAGACCGACCTCGACTAGCGCTCCTGATGATTTCCTTTCGATTGCTGTGCCGAGCAACTATCTAGCTCACCTAGAGCTCGAGTTAAGTTAAGAAGACCAGCAGCATCTGCCAATATGACATTGAACAGCCGATCCCGACCATGTGCTTTTTATTTTCATATCTACCCAATCGACCTGATATCAAGATGGCGAGCGGGGATAAGATCGAATATGAGGGAAGACATCTTCGAGTTTTTGTTGAATTTTAAGAAAGTGATTTTGAATTGAGAGCGAGTCATTAGACAGAGTGTCGTACATAATCGAGACGTACCAAATTGGTTTGTCACGATAGCTACAACGCGCAACAACATTTGCACTCTGCCATTTTGTGGCCGTGGCCGTGGTGGCCGTGGCCGAGGTGGCCGTGGTCGTGGTGGCCATGCCCTGGCCGTGGCCGTGGTGGCCGTGGTAACCTGAGCTGGGACCAATGTATTATTTCCACTCCTTTCATTTTATGAGAGACGACGTTGGTTTTCTGTATTCAATTCGAATTGTGGGTATAGAGAGCTGGCAAGCACACCGTTCAACAGCGAATCACCAGACAGAGTGTCGTACGTATCGCGACGTCTGAACTTGGTCCGTCACGATAGCTACACTTCGAACAACATTTGCATTTTGCAATTTCGTTGAGTCCAGTTTTGGAATCTCAGTGTTCTATTCTCTGTAGTCAGTCATGGCGCGTTTCATGGTGAAATCCTCAGGGCTGTAGCTGCAGTGCAGCTCTCGCGAGTGACTCGCAGAGCTCCCCTGAGAGCGAAGCGGCGAAGCTTGATGGTAATTCTGGCGCGCTGTCGGGCCTCTGTAATTTTTGTGAGAGATCAATTTTGTTTTCTGTATTCAAATTGGAGCTGTAGGCTAGATGCGGAGCTCATATATGCACACATCGACAGAACATTGCGAGAAGCGCTGGTTCAAAGCATTTCAACGGCTGGGATCGTCTGCTACCAGAACTGCGACTAAACACATATTTGCGCTTTCAGAGCTGCTGCCAGAGCTGCTGTGCAAACAGCTACCAAGCTCGCATGCTCTACGCGTGAGGAGATCTTCTTGAGATTTACAAATACTATGGAAACATCTGTTCAGTTTATGTCGTGTACTTTCTTGCGTGGGTGCTTGTCTCAACTGAACTCGAGCTGTGGGGGAAGCTGCGAAGCCGGGAAGCAGACTGTTCGAATAGACGTGATCACGATCGCTAGTCTGCAGTGTCGAGACGTCTGAGATCGGTCTGCTACCAGAGCTGTGACGAACAAGCTATTTGTGCTGTGCAAGCAGCTGCCAAGCTTGCATGCTCAAGTGGGGTCTCTCTCTCTCTCTCTCTCTCTCTCTCTCTCTCTCTCTTTTTTTTTTTTTTTTTTTTTTGTTTTTTTTTTTTTTTTTTTTTTTTTTTTTTTTTTTTTTTCTCTCTCTCTCTCTCTCTCTCTCTCTCTCTCTCTCTCTCTCTCTCTCTCTCTCTCTCTCTCTCTTTGAGGATGGTAACATATTTGGCAATTATTTTTGTGAACCCATTTTAGTTCGAACGTGGCGTGGGTTGTGCCGCGTCTGTCAGTCAAATTCTCAGGTCCGTAGCAGCAATAGTATTATCAATAAGCGTGGAGGAACCAGCTCGGTATGCAACCAAAATGCATTGCGCTCGCGA